GTCTACAAAATGATGTTGTCCAGCACATTGATTAGGAACCATATGTGATTTCTTACAAGTACTTTGATTGTGTCATGGAAAAAGACAGTTAAAATCAATAAGCAGGGAAAGCACACCAATACTTGATTATGCTGAAGTGTGTGACATCAAAACGGAAGACTGAGTTGCCACAATCACTATCACAGTGGACAATCGCAGTTGGACTTAATCAATGTAAGCTGGCCATTAGCGAGAAAAATATGAAAATATATGTCAGGCACGTTAAAATACAAACATCTCACAGCTAATAACTGACACATGCATATCAATGCTATAAATATGAAATTACATACAGTGGTCAGATCACACAAAATTGTTTCATTTTTTTTTTTCCAACACTTACAGAAGTGCACTTAGAAAGTAACATTATAGAAAACTGTTTAAGAAACCACAACTTTTCTTTTTTAAAAATGCCAGTTTCAGAAAAACAATGCAGTTGATAGACAAAATTATCGTTAAGTGAATAGTAAGTACAATTCATTTGAACTTGAGACCACATACCATTGACATTGACCAACATGATTTTTTTATTTAACATTCACAATGTTAAGATTAAAACTGTTAAAATATAATAGAGCTATACTTGACCCTATATATCTAAACCTAGAAAAGGTCCTGAGTCAGAACTGCCTCTACCACATCTGGCTAAATAGTGCCATGAGGTAATTTAAATAAATAGAAGCTGATGTGAAAAAGTGTATAGGTTGCTGAAAAACCATCGACTGCACACACAGTAATATTTGAGATACATTTGTACCTCAAAAAACCAATCACACAAGATCTACAATAATTTAGAAGAATTAGTTCCACTTCATACTTAACTTGATTTAAAGCTCTTTGACACTTACAAACTAATAGTATTAAACGATTAGATAACATTATTACAATCATGAAAGGTTGGATAGCTCGACACGGTCCATAATTCGGCGCAGTAAAAATAGACAATTATTAAGAAACAACACAGCAGAAAGCAATATTTAAGAGCTGCTTTTCCTACATTTTGCAGACAGAACCCTTAAATTAAAATGTAATATCATCAGCAACTTGAAAATCCCTGCTCCGGTCATTACAATAATTATTTCCCTAATTCATTTGAGCCCCAATAAAAATTGGTACACAAATTAAAACCAGGTTAGCCTATACCTTAAATTTGTACAATTTTGGGGTTAAAATATATAAAATAGTTGTATCTGTCAAGATAGGAGTGGCAGGAGAGTTAAAAAAAAAGAGCTTTGTCTTTCCTGCCCCTCGTGAGAACAACATACAATCTGAGATAAAATAGCAAATGTCTCTGTAAAACGCCACCAAAATACTGAGCAATTGCACTAAAGTAAATAATTCACAATTTCACTATCTCCTTTATTCCTTAATTAGATTAGATTAGATTAACTTTTAGTTACTGTATTTTTCACTATCAACCATAAGGTGACCAACAACTCTACATTAAGGCTAAATTATTGAAACCATCCAAGTGACACAAGCTAGTCTACCGCACTTAGGAATAAATTCATCAACTTCAAAACATTCTTCTAAAAAATACTGAATACAAGTAAGGCAGTCCACTCTAAGAGTACACTTTTAAAGTATGAATAGTAATAGTAATAAATATTGATGTACTGTCTTCTATGCCTTTACCAAGAGGGATAGATATAAAACCTATAATTTGTGTCTACTAATTGAAGAAAAAGTAACAAGATGGGAAACAAGCCACTTGCAAGATGGATCATTCATTAGCAGAAAGTGTCGGCTTTGACCATGTCATAGAATTATCGGAATTGTTTGACGATGCTGTGGCACCAGAAGAGCCGGACCGGCCGGGGTTATTAACAGAGCTTCCATTCGGAACTCCATTAGAAGGCCACATAGCTGATGATGATGACATGTTCGACATTGATGATATAGTAGAGTCCAAGTCCCGCTTGAACTTCTGCAACATAAAAATAAATCACTTAACTACTAGGTCAAAACAACTATGCACAACCTCAACACAACTTAAGTAATTTTGAGCTCACAAAACTTAAAAATACACTACAAGTATGAAAAGCAACGTGTCCGAAAGTAGCCATGCTTTAATCGAATATTTTCTGTGCACTTATGCAACAAATTACTTATCTAAGAATACACATGAAGTGATATGGTGTTTGTCCCTGATGAGTTTAATACAATACCTACATGCTATTCTTACCTGCTGTGTTGATTGGTCGACACACGAGATCATAGAAAATGTATGTTGTAGTTTATAATTGATTTAAAAATATATGATTTATTGAGTTTAAGAAGCCTACTCGAGTAGGCAATAGGTCTCACTTGACGACGGATCAAATTAGAGAGCAGGTCTTATGATCAGGCAATCAAACTCACCTTCTTAATCATCCCTCCGACCGGTGAAGAGGGTCTGATACTCGGACTTGACTCACCCCATTGCTTTGCTGATGAGCTGCCATATCAGGCAAATCTAGTGATGCATCTGATGCAATTTTACGAATTTCTTTCTGGGATCGGGCTTCAACAAGAAAGATGCTTTCTTTTACTTCTTTTGAGTTGTACTGATCCATCCTGGTTGACAGAAGACAGAATATTATGAGAATTGTAGAGAGTCGTATAAATTAGGAACACAATTTCAATACATACTTATCATAAATAACTGCATGTAACCCTAGCTCTTTCAAATGTTTGATTGTAGATGCGTCATTGTTGTCATCACCCCAACAGAAAATAACTAAGCCTGCGTCTTTTGCCATCTTCACCTGAGATACATCTCTCAAAATTTCTTCAGTATGAACATTTATGCCCTAAAAAATAGAGAGAACTTTTTAGATCTAAAAGGTCAAGTAGTTTGAGTATGGCATACTTCATGCACGTAAGTAGTACCACTTCACTATATAAAAAGGATCTGGGTTCCAATGAGAAGGGATACCTACCAAAATATTGGCACCAACGGCAAAATGGATGGCCATTGGTATTGTTTGGCAGATTGGGTCATTGTACATGGGGTACTTTTCAGTGACACCTTGAGTCAAAAACATAACTGGATACTTGTTCTGTTTGAGTCGAATCCTGCAGACAATCAACCATTAGTAAAAGTAGAGTGCATACCTAAGTTTTTCATCAAAGAAAGAAAAACGTGGTGCAGTTCAAAACTCACATGGTGCAGATATCAGGGTGGAAACAGGAGAACACAATTTTCCTTGAGCCACCATGCTGCAGAACTGTTGTAAGTACTGTGTCCAAGTACATGTTTATGTCAAAAGGGTGGTTGAGCTCATAGGTACCATCCTGTTTCAAGATAGAAATATTAAATTGGCATTATAAATTGGGGAATGTGAAATTACACATTACTTCGCATGACAGCTTTAGTCTGACCTTGAGTTGCATTGTCCACTTGATTTCTATATTAAAGCCAACATGTGGGTCCAGAGCTTCCAGCACCTGCTGAAGGGTTGGGAAAGGCTGATGTTCCTCCAAATCTTCATCAAAAATTATCTGGCACTTTTCTTCACTTTCCTTCTGGTGATACACCTATGAAGAAAAAAAGATGGGGAAAATTAGCTTGAAATATGTCTAAAATAAAGGTACAGTATTCATACTGGCTAAGACATATGAGAGCAAACAAAATTTACACACAACTAACTTAAAATTGACAATTGGCACCCAATACACTGCTGGTCACATTTCAAAAATGAAGAAAAAAAAAATAATGCAGACTAATTATTAAAATTATGATTGATCTTGGAGGGGTCAGACCTTTTAAGGACAGTGCACACAACACAGCATCTTCACCTTCACTCTCACAAAATTGAAAATTCAATACCACAACATGCCAAAACCACAACAGTAGCTGGATTTCATAGTTTGCCTGGAGCTGTTAGTCGTGTCACACATTAATGAGGAATAAAATCAACCCCTCACCCACCTCCGCCATATCACTAAAGTGAAGAACTTTGCTGATGCTTTTGGGGTAACTGAGGTCCTGAGTATCATACCAAAAGAAATAATAATAAAGACCCAGAAATAATTATGTAAAAAAACCTAGACATGTGAATAGCATTAACTCCCTGATACAATGTCCATTGCCAAATAATTGAACAGAATTTGTAGGGTGAAAAGCAAATACAAATAACTCACTCTACATCTAGTATACAGTACAGAATAAGAAAAATATAAGTAGTAAAAATATTTTAATTTTTTTTAATATTTAAAAATACTTCTTACCTTTAACAAATGCAGCTGTTCTAAGGTCAACTCCTTCACAGGCAGCTCTAGCAGCTCCATATCATTGGAATCATTCTTTCGCTTCATAGAGATGTACACATGAAAATCATGGTAGATGACAGGGATCAAATCTTTGGAGAGTTGAACATCAAATTCAACAAAGTCAGCACCAAATGAAGCAGCAGTCTTCAGGGAGGCAATTGTATTTTCTCGAACCTCCGGACAACTGTAAAATGTGAAGTTAAAGTGTTATAACTTTCGACACAACATACAAAAATTTACAGCCTTTGTTAACAAAGTTCACAATAGCAAAAAAAAAAAAAAAAAAAAAGAGTTGTTTCATAACGTGAAAAAAAGTCCAAGCCCCATAATGATTGATAATGATTAGCATGTGAGGAAAAGAATTTAGCAAAGAAAAGAGAAGGGTGAGCCTGTGTAGAATGAAACTGGTGTTAACATATATGACAAGACCAGTGACTAAGTTTCTCCTTCTTTTAACAGAAAGGGAAAGTAAAAAAGTATATATACTTGGAAATGCATGCACATTTTTCAAAGTACAAAAGACGCACTCAATACTAGTCTGGTCTATTTGAAAGCAAATCAAAATAGAGAGAAAGGCCGGGAACCTTTATCACAAGGGAGTTCTAAATTCCTAGGTTTGTGAATATCTTGATACAGATCAACCCACTCAACACAGTGTCACACATTCTCTTCTGATCTAATGATGCAAACAAAGTCTGGTAAAAATTGGCCTCTTAAAGTCCAAGCAACTCCGTACAAGTACATTGAACGTGAAACTGTGCTGTTAGCATTCACCTTCGCTTAATAACTTCTCCAACAGCTCTGTTGTCGAAACCATGACCGTTGGACCTAAATGAAATCAGAGTAATACTTTTCTAGTTGCTAAAGACCACCAAACAATTACATGATACATACTGTAACACACTATTCCTGAGATAATATTTTATTTGATATTATAATAAAAACCTGAACATTTTGTGGTAGCCAAGGCCATAGCTTTTTAATTTTACTGGTCTCATCTTTCATCAAAAATAAGATACATAGCTAGACCTTACTAGAAAAAAAAAGGTTTGCAAACAATCAAAAGTACTAACTTTGCACAAATTTGGGATTTATGAAATTTGCTTGATATTACAAATAAGTAAGCCTACATGGATCCAATATGGACATGCAAAACTGTTTTGACCAATATTTCATGCCAAAAAAGAACAAATATAGATCCTACCTACAGAACTAAATTAATCCTCAAAAAATAATGCAGTTAAAATGATAAGAAACTGTAATGATGATCATAGGATACTTACTCTTTGGTCTTGAACTGCTTGAAAGAGTTGCCCAAACCTCTGTGACCTACATCCAGGCCAAGCCAATTCTGTTTCCAATGGCGAGTGAAAGAAGTGCTCATGTCACACCAAAAACCAGGAATTGGATTAATCACCACATACTCCACTGCAAAAACAATAGAGATAGTTTAAAGTATTGAGGAAAATAGGTAGCATAAATGTGTACAGGGGAGAGAACATTATTCACTATTCACCTGCCACTTGTCCAATTGGCCTCTGATGTGTGTTTGTAATAGGAACAATGGTTTGCCCTAGGCTCTGCTTTAGAGTAATGGGAAGAATGTAGCTGAAACCAACATGATAGGGAGGATCTCCATCAGACATTCTGTTACTGTATGCGTAGAAGTCCATCAGATAAGCCTGCAGAATATAAAAATAAAATAATTATATGAATGACTATCACAAAGAAGGTAACATCAATATTGTAAATCAGTGGACAGTTATTTCACTTACCACCATATCAGGGTTGTGAAGGCTTATCATAAAATTCATGACGTCATCTTTGTTGTACGGGCAGCCAAACTGATTTTGTGGCTTAAATTCACTTTCTCCAGGCTTCATTACCTAGAAACAAAATGCACACAAATATTAATTTCTCCTGTGAATAAGTTGTGAGAAAAGCACATGAGGCTTTCATAGTACATTACTTATGAATACTCACCGCTACTTCTGTAATGGGCCAGTTATCAGTTTGCTGAGGTCCATCTTGAGTATCAATACCTAAGCTCTCATCTAAATTGTTCTCACCAACATAGACGGATTCGACTGATGATGAACTACGGGTCAAGTTCACTGGAGTTACTTTAATAAACAACTGAAAATAGGGGAATACAATGTCAATTCACATTTTCTTGAACTGGTGAAAGAATCATTAAGTGCAGAGCCATACCTTAACACCCTGGAGTTTTGACTTCCACATCTGTATTGGGTTGTTAAAGAGTTTAAGTTGGATGGCAGTTTGAGTTGTCAACCATCCTCGATCAACACGCTGATAGTGGTCATAGTGGCCAAATTCGTCAACTACATGTTGTTGAGGCCCTGGAAAGAAAACAGACATGACAAGCTGCCTATAGAGCAAATTTTTCTCAGTACAGAGAAAACAGGGATGCAAGATTTAAGTTAGCTTACCTTGTTCTTTAATAATGCGAGGAATAACATTGGTTTCCCATCGACGTACAATGACATGTCTTGATTGATACCTTACACCATCAGGCTCAAGTATGACACAAACAGCGTAACGGTACTCCACGGGCTCATCAGATGGAATCATGAGGGTAACTGTCCAGTCACTGTCCCTACTAAACATTGTAACAATGATAATTTGCAAAATTGACAGAGCCCTTGGACAAATTATTGAATGATTTCTAGACTACATACTCTTCAGGACTGAGGCGAGTCATGGGAACCACATCACAGCTTTTCCAGCTACCGAGCTCTGAACAACTGCCAGTGAGACACATTGTCTCACCTCGAGCAATGTTGTTGGCCGTAACATGGAATGTCCACTGTCTCAGAGGTCTGCTTGTCTCCATGTTGTTACTAGATAACAAAAAAAATCATAATCAGTCAATACTATATAAAAAAAATTCTGTCATAAATAAACAAGAATGAAACCCAAATAACCAACCTCGAGTTGTGGGAGCTCAAGAAATTATCATTGGCCATCTCACACTGCATTATCTCCTCACTACCTCCAGACCAACCGTCCAACATTGTTAGCCGCTGCTGCAAGAAGATATAAGGGCAACATTACACAACAGTCTTCAAATAATGGCAAATTCTTATCCCTGACTATAAAACAAAAATTAAAATAAGAGAATGAATGTATGTTAACTTGTAATTATTAATAATTATTAAGGTAATAAGATAGATATAAAAAACAACAAAATAAAATTTTACAGTGCACAGAAGTTGTCAATAATCACACAGTACCCATGAACATTAAAGGTAGATAAGACTACACAAAAGAATAGCTGGGCCATAACGTTTAACAATCATTGGGACACAACTCATTTCCACATAAGTTTCATTCATCATTTCCTTCCCAATATTGTCAATGTGATCCTAGTCAGCTAGGTTGACAGTCCAACACTCGGAACAGCGCCCACATCTAAAGTGAACAATGACCGAAAAGTTTTCCCATTCTGCACAAACTCTTTTAGCTCATAGGTTTCACAAACGATACCGCGCACACAAGTCATACTTCGACGAACAAGTGTAACTGCCTAAACGTAAACACCAATAACAACCGACATAACCTAGCGAAGCGAGTGGAGCACAACAGAAGCTATCGATCTACAAATCTTCGGAAATGCAAGACAGAGATCCTTTGTCAACAATCATAGAAGTCGCGTTCCCACCCCGCCATACGAAAAGCTTCACTGTACAAACTTACATTTCTTGAGCTTCCAACCAGTGCTACAAAATCGAAATAGTTTCCATGGTACTGCCTCGGAAAATGGCGTTTGGCCTTTCACATACTCCACCGGTTTCCGAAAGGCAAATAGTCGTAGGCACTGTTGTGTAGGGTGGGGGGTGGGGGGGTGGCGGGCGCGCGACCGACGGAGCGCAACACAGCACCCACCCTTCCGGGAGTCTTGGCGCGTCCGCCGAGGCCAAAGGTCGCGCCGATTTCGACGGCCAGCGGCCAGGTGTCGCGACGCGAACGCAACCCCCCTCCCCTTCATGCACCCCGATAGCACTCCGAACGTACCCACGCGGATATCGGATAAGAGAGCGGAGAGCAGCTGCTCGCTCACGCGTGGGCACGGCTGCAAGGCGCGTCCCGCACGCCTGCGACGGGTGACGTCCGCTGTAGCACTGACCAGGAACCAGACCACCCCCACCGCGCAGCCGCACCACCCCCAGCCCCAACGCCCCTCTCTTCTACCTCCCCTCCCCCACTCCATCAAACCTGAATGCCCTCCACCCCAACGGCTGGGTGGACGGTGGTAGGGGGTGGCACGGGGGTGTTGACAAATTAAAAAAATCAAAAAACAAAAAAAAAACATGCTTGTGAAAACTTTACAACCTCATCGGCTCCACGAAGATACTATACTGGCCATTAACCCAGTCAAACTGAGCTTACACTTTACCCCACTATCTAGTGGTCCTAGGGCCACTACCACTATCCCTTGCATGGTCTCTTTCGTGGCAAAAGACCAGGGGCCTCAAGTGATCTTATCGCTCAGTAAAGCGATTAGTTAGTTCCTTTCTCGAGATTTGGTTCCCGCTGTTGGTTCCGTATCCCCCC